CAGGGGGCTGAGGGGGCCCGGTCACGGCCGCCGCCGGCTCTGGGGACGCTTCCCGGCCGTGCCACGCCGCGGGTGGGGACAGCAGCGCACAGTCACCCTCCATGCTGCAGCTGGGCTCAGCGCACCCAACAGGCTGAGAGGAAACACAAGGATCACAGAGAAATAAGGAGAACAGAGTAAAGAAGAGGAGGGAGAAAATACAGAGCAGCTGCTGAAGAACAGGGGAGAGAATTCCAGTGCTAATGCCCGCACACCACCCCAACCCTCTCTCCTGCTCTGCCACCGCTCTGTGACCCCCAGTGTCACTCCCAGGAGAGGAGCTTGCTGTGCACACACACCCCGGAGAGCTGACAGGCACAAGCACTCCCTGCACTCCTCCAACTCACACACCTTCCTGCAGCTGCTCCCCAGCCAAAGCCACTTCCAACACCTGTACAAGCACATGCTTCCCCCCTGCTCACCTCAGCACACAGAATCTCAGAACAGCCGGGGCTGGAAGGCATCTCTGGAGATCCTCCAGTTCAACCTCAACTTCTCTGAGTCCCATGACCTATGGCCCAGCCTCTGCTGTCACCCCCACGCTGCCACAGAGTCACACAACACCCATCCCGTGCACTTCCACCACACCTGCACAGGCGAACAGGCTTCAACAGCCCCGCTGCATCACAACACACCCAAAACACCAGAGCTCAGTGCAGCAGACAGAGCGCAGACCCTTTGGGTGGCTCCTGCTGGCAGGACTGAGGCAGTCCCAGCTTGGTTTGGGCTCAGTGCACACAGCCCGAGTGAAGCCCTGACCCTTCCTCTTAATGCCATAGAAGAGAGTTTGTTACCCCAGCCAGAGCCTTCCTTAGAGGAGCAGCGACAGTCAGAGAGCAAAGACCAGAGCTTCCATCCAAGTGCCTCCAGGGAGCAGATAGACTTCTGCTCAGAGCAAATTCCCCAACTCCTGTGTCATGGCAGCGGTCACCAAAATAGTTCTCAAGGGTGGGCTGGTGACTACAATGGCAGCTGGGAGGCTCAGGAATTTCAGAGGCCCTCCCCTAACCCAACCTCTGTGGTTGGCAGAGCCCCGGCTCATATCGTGTTTCCTCACCAGTGAAGCCTGTGTTACCCTGAGAAATTCTGCTCTTGTGGCTGTGTGATTTTTCAATGTAAAAACCCTGTTTTAACCCCTTTTCTTCAGAGTCACACAATGCCTGACAGTTGATGGGGAGCCCCAGTCCCTGTTTTGTTCTTGGACTGGAACTGGGCTGGATCTGTGTCTCAGCTGTAAGCTCCTGCTGTAACACGTCCCGGTGAGGGATTCCTCACTCCCTAGCCTCAGTGGGGCTATTCCTGTCAGACAAGCCACATTTTCTATTTTGGGCAAGCAAAAATTTGGGCAATGCAGCGAGCTTTCCCAGCTTGCAGATGGAACAGACATGTGCTACTCCTCATCCTTCCTGGCACTGAAAGAAATCCAATCCTAAATCCGATGAACAAGTGAAAAAAAAAGAATCAATGGCAAGAAACTGAAGAAAAATAGATTCAGAACAGAAAGCAAAGGTTGATAGTTAACTAACCATGGTGACCTGGTATTGATACATGTCTTCTCCATTTCTCATAGTCCAGAAACAAAACTAGACTTTGATCATTTTGCTGTGAACAAAATTGCTGTCATGGGTCTGGCTTTCATTTCTGTTCAGTGTGAAGACAGAGACTGGAGCAGCTCTTTGGCTTCTGTAAGGGAAATGTCAGAGTCACGGAATCCCAGGATGGTTTGGGTGGGAAGGGACCTGAAAGCTCATGTTGTTCCACCCCCTTGCTATGGCAAGGATATCTTCCACTGGACCAGGTTGCTCCAAGTCCCATCCAACCTGGCCTTGGACACTTCCAAGAATGGGGCAGCCACAGCTTCTCAGGGCATGGCCAAAGACCATCCCCCAAACAAACATTCCCATGCTGCTTCCAATGGCAATTTTCATTTTGGCTTGTAACTGTGGACAAGCAGAATGAGCATCTCATCAGCCTTTGTCAAATCCTGCCCACAAGTGGACCCAGATGCAGTAACACAGATCGATCCAAGACAGACAAACACCTGCTCCCTCGGCTGGTGGCTGTTCTTGGGGAATCCTCAGGACCAGTTCCACCCACAGTTACAGTGGTCAGTGGAGAGATCCTGTTCCACAGTGGACAGATGGACCTGCACCTCCTCCTGCTCCACAGTAAGAACCGTTCCCTACAGAACCTCGTGTCACATGGTGAGGACAGGAACAGTTCGCTGCAGCTCCCTCACAGGGAACTGTGCAGCAGTAAAAGACACCCAGTCATTGCTCAGAGGAGAGTGTCTGTGGTGACAATTGGCCTGGGGACAGTAAGAAAGAGAAAACCACGATGTGAACAGGGCAAGAGCACCAGTCATCTGTGTGAGGTTGTCCAGAGATAGACAATCTGTCACTGACCCACCTGATCTTCCACTGGCTGGACTGACCCTGGCTGAGTCTTCCAGCGGTCACCTAACAGGTCCTCCAGGGCAGCTCCTGAAGGACCTCCAGACCGTCCCTGTCCCCACGATCCAGGCAGATGGACTTTTCAGAGCACAGCAAAGACAGGGCTGGTGGCAGCTGGACAAACCCAGGCACCCATGGGCCCTTCCCTGGAACGGGACATTTATAGAAGCCGCCCAGCGCCCCGGCGTTCTGGCCCCACATTCCCGTGCCTGGCATTCCCAGGCTGACAGCGGCTGCAAGGCTCAACCCCAAATGCTGCTCTGCTCTGGACCACACTCGAGCTGTCCTGCACGGAGGCAGCTGCTGCCTGGGGCTGACTCTCCCCCTCTTCCAGCTCCTGAGTTACACTCAGAGATGCTAAAAATAGGCCTTTTCCTGATACTGCTTTGTTGTCTGAACAGCAAGAGGAAAAGCCAAAAGCTGGGAAGTGTGGGAACAAAAGGAGGCAGAGCTGGAGCCAAAGCAGAGCTGTTACTAGAGTAAGGAAAGAGAACAGGAGAGGAGACCTGTCTGCATGGAATGAGATGGAGACAGGAAAGGCAAAAGAGATGATCCTGAAACACTGGAATGGGAATGCTGAATGGGATGATGCCAGCAAAGCGAGATCTTGCTGACACAGGAGTAGAGGAAGAAGACTGAGGATGTGTGAGGAGTAGGCAGAAACTCAGCAGAATGGGTGTGATGCAGGAAAGATAGAAGAAAGAAATTCTGGAGAGGTGAGATTTTAAACAACACAGGAGAGGATTAAGTTTGTAATATGTGAAGTCTGTGAAATCTGGAATTTCTCTTGGTCACTACATATGAGGGACTGCCAGGCAGGGCACAGGACAGGAATGCCCACAGCAGGAGTCACGATACACAACAGGATATGTGAACCACAGGGCTCAGTCATGACACACAACCACAGACACTTCACTTCTGCAGGCCTGGGGAATCTTGGCTTCAACAGAATCTCAGGGTAGTTTGGGTTGGAAGGGACCCTGAAGACCAGCCAGTCCCACCCCCTGCCATGGTCAGGGACATTTCCACTAGAACACCAGTGGCAGACACTGCCACTAGATGGATGGCTCCAAGCACTGTCCAACCTGGCCTTAAACTTTTTTTTATTTTTAATACTTTCAGTTTCAGCACTCTCATCCCTGCCCCTTCCTAAACACCATCCCACAATGGATTTACAACTGAGCTGTGCACACAACACTGTCATCGCTGTGTCGGGAAGAATCCTTCTCTCCATCCTTGGTGGCTTTCTGGAGCCTCTTCTTTCCACAACAAATCCCTGCACTCTCCCACTCACATCCCCTTCTCTCCTACCAGGCTGTTCTTTCCGCCTTGTTCCAAACTCTGCTTTTTGCAACTTCTCAAACTTTGCCACTTCCCTTCCCAAAAGGTAAAGCTGCCTGGCTGTTGCTCTCCTCATTTTCTTAGTCCCATCTTTCTTACACAGCTACCTCCTGGTTCAGTGCCTGAGTCCCCCACAGTTCTGCTTCCCAGTTTTCCTTTGCAGAGGATGCTGTCACACAGAGGTGTCTCTCACACCATGGCACAGGTGGAGGGCAGGTCATGGAAGAACCACGGCCTTCCCTGCTGGGAATCACACCTCCACAGCCCCTCCCTGTCTCCCCTGCAGGGACCCCCACCTCCACAGCCCCCCCAGGCCCTCCAGCTCCACTCACGGTGCGGTTGCCTCTCTGCAGGCCACTGCTGGGCAGTGCTGCCAGGGTCCGGTAGTCCAGGCGCAGGGGTTCACTGGGGACGTTCTGGAGAGGGGTAAAAAAAACCACAAACACCAGGAACAGGTCAGGCCCAAAGTCAGCTAAATCAACGAGAATGAGCAATGAAAAGGGAACCACCCCAGTAATAACCAAGGCCTTATCTCCAAACTCATCAAAGTTCCCACTGCCCGGAAAAAGAGCTGGAATTGCTCGAACACAACCATGCGAACTTGTGGCAGGAGCAGGGCTTGAGAAACCCCACAGAGAAAGTATCACTGCGGACCCCTGGCCGCTCACTGCAGATACCACAGATTCCTCTGCTCCTCCTGCCCCCACGTCCACTTCCCTATGGAGAACAGAAGGTGCCGTGCCCACCTGTTTGCTCCAACAGCACCCGGAATGACCGGATCTGGACACGTGCAATACTGCAAGTCCACAATTCCTCTACAGAATTCTTCTTCTGACCTTAACCCACACTCACTGTACAACTCCATTCAATTTTGCTTCCCATGTATTGCCTTTCTAACCCTAAATAGAAGCCAAGGTTTCTAACCCAGTCCCTGTTTTCCTCAATCCCTTATACATTTCTTCGGTTCTGATCCTCTTCTCTTATCCCCAAAGCCACATCCTTTTAGGGGAGGGAGTGGAGAACACAAGCTTTGGGGAGCAAACTCTTTTTGGGGACTTTTCCAGCCTTCCAATCTAGCTGTAGCCCTTTCCTGGGCCTCTCCAGCCCTTCCCCTGTGCTGCTCACCTCTGCTTCCTCCTCAAGCTGCTGCGTGGCTGCCTCCCGCTCCCTACGCATCCGCTCCTTCCATGGGACAGACAGAGCCAGAGCAGAGAGACAAGAGAGAGGCACAGAGGTCACACGTGCTGGGCACGAACTGCTGAGGGGACACAGCAGTGCCAGCACCAGGAGAGGGGGAGCAGAAACCCCGCACGAACACTGGGACCAGGGAAGGAGGAGCTGGAATTTGGCACTTGCACTGTTATTGCCAGCAGAAAGGACAGCGACAGAATAAGATCATCGGAGTGTCACAGGTGAGGGGCGAGAGCAGGTGTCCCCAAGATCCTCAGCAGGGACAATCCTGGGGCAAGTAAGGAGAGCTACTGTGCCCCCAAGCATAAGCTACACCAAGGGAGAGGAGGAGTTTGCTCACTGCTAGAAGAGACACCCTGGTGGAGCACAGACAGGACAGGGAAGGGAATGGAAAATCAAATCTACAGAGCACAGGTCTTGCTGGCTTACAGCATCACGTACAGAATGGTGTAAATACAAGCAAAGGGACAGAAAGGTCATGGCACAAGGTCAGCTCAGCACCAGCTGTCAGCCTGCAGAGGCATTAGAGAGTGACCAGTGACTGATCCCAAAAGCCCCAGCCACGGGCTTGTTTGCAGGCTGCAAGAGGAAGGGAACAGTGTGGGACTTGTCCTAAGGACTGATTTCTGGGCACTGATATTTCTGTGTCTTGTCACCTGGAACCCATGGGCAGAGCCAGGCCTGGGGACAGCACAGCAGCATCCTTCCCTTCTCTTGTGTATGGATCCCTCCCAGCTGTTCTTCCCACACAGATGGTCCAGATGTCCTGACACTTGGGAGCATGGGAGGTGGAAGGCAGCTGAGAGGGAGTCATCAGAAAATTCTGCTGGGCCCTGTTCTTCAACAGATTCCATTAACCATTCCATCTGGTTACAGATTCCCGCTGCCACACATCACCCCTTGACCCCCAAGCAAGGATAAGCAGCATGGGAAGTCACTAATGCCCTGGAGGATCACAACTCCCAAAAGGATATTGAGGGATATTTAAGTTTATTCTGAATCTGGTTATGCTTGTTTTGGCCAAGAGTTCTCTGTAGGGTGAGGGTTCCAGAAGACACTAATCTGGTGTGTGACTGCTTTCTGAGGTCACATTCTGAGGAGTGACAGGAGCACCAGCCAGCCCAGATGGAGCTGTGGCATGCTCCAAATCCATCTCTGACAGCAGCTGGGGAGGACCTGGATTAAGACTAGGAAAGTAACTACAGCCACAGAGCCAGGAGACAGCACCAGGAATCAGTCCACAGAGCCTCAGAGTTACTGACAGTTCTACTAGAGACTGAATTATCAGAGAACTGGAGGCAAGAGGTATCAGCAGTGAATGGGTTTGAAAACTTCTGCCATGAGCAGAGCAAAGGCATAATTCCTCCCAGTTTTTCAGTTGGCAGCATGCTGTGGGCTGGAGACACATTTGGTCTCTATTACTCTTGAACAAACATGAAACACTGAAGAGTAAGAAAAAACAGTCCAGAAACAGTGACAGAAATTACCAGGGATCAGGCATGGGCAGGAACTTCCCTTTGCATTCCAATGGCCACCACGGAGTGCTGGCTCCATCATGGGGATAAATTTAATCATCAAAACCAGTTTTAGAGACATAATCCCAGATTCAAGGTTTAAAAGGCCCAGCAGAAAAACATGTATTTGCTCCCAGGCCTGAGGATCCCAGGAGGTCCAAGGAGCCTGGAGCATCCATTGCTACCTCCTCCTGACACACCAAGGGGAGGGACACCAAAATGCATCAGCGCTTTTTAAGATGAGATATGGCCAAGGCTACTTCACCAATCATAAAGGCTTTTCTGGGTTTCTTTTTTGACCCAAGTATTTTTAAGTAATCTCAGTATAAATTTTGGCAAAGTCTTTCTCCACCTGAGCCTGGATGAAGGCCACCTGCTCAGCCTGAGCAACATAGTTTGGGGCCACACTTGGTATACTCACAGACGGTAGGAATGCTGAACCTGACCCACAGTACCTGAAGTCTCCTGGAATGTATTTCAGTCCATATATCCATATTCAAATCCATATACTGTCAACATGAAATCTGGCAGGAATATCCTTTGCTCAGACAGAAACACAATGAAATCAGATTTGCTGAAACCACATCAAACCAGTCTGAGTTCCTTCCCAGGCAAGGAATTATACATTTTACAGGAAAAATCTAAATCTGCTTTGAATTGCCTCTGCTCTGGGCTGAACCAAGAGAACTGCTGAGGTCCCTCCTGCCCAAATTAGTCAGGATGGTTTGGGTGGGAAGAGACCTTCCAGGGTCATCTTGTCCAACCCCTGCAATGAGGGGCATCTTCAACTGGATCAGATTGAAGATCACTCTATAAAGTCATTTGACTTCCTTCCAGGACTGCCAACTTGATCCTGCTTTTGTGGGGCAGCAAATGTGAACAAGCTCAGGAACTGCAGTTGCAGACAACCCAGGGAAACTTCAGGTGTATCTGAACCAGAAACCTGATGAAACACCTGAAAAATGTACACACATCTGCCAAGAGAGCAGATTCCTCACTGACAACACTGAGGAATTCAGTTTCCCCTCTTCTTCCAGTGACTCAGACTGGATAAATTACTGTTTTAAAAGGGATGACTAGAAAACTCTAAGCCCTCAAGAGGCTTGATTCTGCTGATCTATTCCTGTGAAATTCTCCTGTGAAATTCTCTTCCTGTGCAAGGCTGAGCCAGTGGGCAGAGACACAAAACTCTCACAGCAAAGCAGAGAAATGACCATGTGAAATGAGGAGCACAAAGCTGTGGCTGACCAGCAGCATCACTTCTCCACTCAGGGCAGCTCGGAGCTGTGTGTTCTCATCTTTGCTCACAAAAGCTCTGTCAGTCATAGGGTGCTGGACAGAGAAAACTGATTAAATTTGGTACTTCCAAGCTCATTGGCCATTTTTCTTGAAGCTGCAGCTTGGCCAGGAGGTACCAGCAAGTAAAAGGGGTGGTCTTTGGGAATACCACAGGAACATCACCAGCAAGGTGTACAAGGAGGTACAGCAAAGCCAAAGAGCAGCCAGGGCAACAGAGCAGAGCACTACAGAGGGAATGCCCAGAGCTCCACCCCATGGCACTGACAACAGCGCAGAGATCCAGCATTCCTGTGGCACTGACAACAGGGCAGAGCTCCAGAGCTCCCCGTGGCACTACAGTGGAGCAGAGATAACTTGTGACACCTTCCTTGGGACTCACAGGCTCAGCAGAGCCATTGCCACAAACAGATTCTGCTACACAGATCATCTCTCACCACTTTCTCCATTTCTTCTCTCTCCCATTGAGTGGCTTCTCTCACCATTTCCATCTCCTAGGAGAGAGCAGAGTTAGAGCCACCTCACCCACTGCTCTCTCCACACCTGCAGCATCTAGAACCTGATGAAGGTGTCACAGTCCCATCCTAGCGTGTTCCTGATCCAAGTGCTGGGTTCTGCTGATCCCATGCCATGTGCACTGCACAGCACACTGCAGGCTGCATGCACCAAGGGAGACACTAGAGATTTCCAGAAACTGCTTCCACTCTAACAGGCTCCCAGCTCAGCCACAACACACACCTTCTGCAGGAGCTCCAGTTCCTCGGGGCTCAAATCCCGGTCAATGGAGGAGATGCTCTCCAGGCTGTTCTTGCGCCCAATGCCAGCAGCAAAAGGGTTTGCAATGATTCCTGGGGACATCTGCAAAGCAAACGGCAAATCCCAGCTGGTGGAAGCCCACAGAGTGCCATTCCAAAAATTCCCTATTCCAGCCTCCCACATACAGAGCACCAGGACAATCACAAGCAAGTCAGAACCATAATTCTTTCAACAACTGGAAACCTTATTTCATAGAACCCCAGCCTTGTTTGGGTTGGAAGGGACCTGAAGAGTATCCAGCTTGATCCCTGCCATTTAGATTGACAACAGTTTGAGGAATCCAAGGTTGAAGTAAGCTGAATTTAAATTGATCCAGGTGCAAGAAGGGCATAAGGAGCAGGGACTTGCTTCATATTCTATTGAAGAATTCAGAAGCTGACTAGCTAAGCTTTGGAAACAGAAATCTGAGAGGGCACAGGATTGCTCCAGGGAAATTCTACCTATAATGATGAACACCAATAAAGAGCCAGACCATTTAGTCTAAATGTAACACTGGCCAAGAAAAAATGGGCATAAATAGCCTAGTGAAAATGAGCTTGACTTTTTTCTTTTTTTTCTAGTGCAGGTCTACTGTGGGACAGTTCTGGAACAGCTGAGAAAGACAGTCCTGAGGGACCACTGCTTTTCTAGAGTGGAGACCCCCTCCAGTTCACATCATAGGTCAGACTCTGAAATCTGGGACCTCAAAAAACCAAAAAAATTTACAGCAAAAGGTTGGGAAAATCCAGTGTTCTGTGAAGAAAGAGGTGGGATCCATGTGGGGAGATTCTGGTGACTCCAAGGGCACCTGCACTCCAGCGCTCACCTCGATGGCAGCCGCAGCCTTGGGGTCGAAGCCGTCACAGACCAGCACGAGGAGCGCGTCTCCCACGCCCCGCAGGATCTGCACGGCCTCCGTGTGCGTCATCCCCAGCAGGCTCTGGTGGTTCACCTCCAGGATCCGCATCCCCACCTTCAGGCGGCCGTCCCGGGCAGCGGCCCCGGAGGAGCTCACCTGGAACACACCGGGAGCCAAAGCGTCACTGGAGCAGCTGGGAGGACAGGAGAGCGTGGGGACCACGGCAGCAGGAGTGGACAGCACACACCTGCAGCTGAGAGTCAGGAAAAGCGTCTGCAAGTACTCTGGAGAGGGCACAACAGGAAGGACAGGCTGGGGGAGGGAACGGGTGTGGAAGAATCTTTTATAAAGTGAGATAAAAGAATGTGAATTTGAAATGTGCTGTCCCAAGGAAAGAAGCAGGTGAGAAGGAAAAGCTGTCACATCGTGATGGAGCTCACAGAAAAACGTTTTGTGATGGGAGAGAGACACAATGGAAATGTAAATAAAGTGAAATTAAGGAGGAAGGACACAGGGATCAGACATGCAAAGAGGAAGAAGAGGAAAAGCACCACTTTGTCTCTTGATTACTACAAATATCAATGGAAAATAAGAGGCAGGAAAACTCCTCCAGATAGGACAGGTAAGAGAGGTTGGAGGGGAGTAACATAGCTCAAGGGAGAGCAGAGAAGTTCAGGATTTTGGTTCTCTGCAGGCTATAACAACAAGTATTGGAAAAAAAACCAGGGAGGGGAGAAGGGGTAAACTAACTCTGTGCCATGGCTAAACTGTGAACCTTCCAACCCCCAAATGCTGTAATTCTGCAGAAGATAAAACCAGAGCAAATTACTCCAAACAACTGTCAGTTAGAATAATCCCAGGTTTTCTTTCTCTGTTGTTAAAAATGTCCCAGGTGAACATGCAACTGTCACTCTGAAAGAGGGTATTTATTCTTTTAACTTTAGAACTCAGATAAAACAGTTACAGCCACGTAACAACAAATGCTGAATGTTCCCTTGCCTTAATGGCAACCAATTATCAATTATCAGGGCTGACTGCAAATTATGGAGTGTCTTCAGCCATGAGGACAACTCACATCAGTTTCTACCCCAAAAAAACAGCTAAAGAGGGAACCAGTGACACTAAGGTGAACACCCAGAGTCCTCGTTGTCAGCAGCAAGACCAAAATGACACCACTTATTGCTGTCTTATTATGTGTCTTATTGCACTCTGCTGCCAGCAAAGAAATAAAAACTTTTTGGAAAGGGTTGGGTGAAGCATAAACTGATAAGCACAAGCGTAAGTTAAACAAGAAAACATGTAATTTCTGGAGGAAAAGCAATGTGAGAATTATTTGTGACACAAGCAATCACCTAAAAAAGGAACAAAGTTACACACAGAGCGCATGGTGCAGGAGAAAAGGTTAGGAATTCCAGACACTTTCCATGGGAAGGAGGAAAGAGCTTGCATGTCTAAGTGGGCAGGAAGCACAGGCACAAGTGGACCAATAGGAATGTGGGTACAAGGAAAGACATGTATATTTGCATTATAGAAAAAAACACAAGAGAAGAAACACCAAGCAAAATAAAGGCAAGCAGGAAATATAAGAAACCGTGTAGCTGTTGTGGAGGAGGAAATATGAAAGGACAAGGACTTGTCTCCTTTGCTGGAGGGGGAATCTCCAGCAGCGATGCACAAGTGAAACTGACAGCACATTCCAACAGCTCCCCAGGGATCACTCACTCTTCCCCTGGCAGTGCCTGCAGGGGTGGTGCTCTGGTACCTTGGAGATGAAAATGCCTTCATCAGTGGGATCAAACGGGTTGCCAGCATGGCCCTTTGCTCCTCCCCGGATGCTGATGCCCAGTTTCTCTCCTGGAGCCTTTTCAATGCATATTTCCTGGAAACACAGAAGAGAGTTCTTGTTTTTGGGCCAAGTTCAGCTGAGGGAGCACTCCTCAGAGTGATCACAATTCTAAGTGCCCTGAAAAGGGCCTGAATTAGCCCCATCCCTCATTTGGCAGTTTATTCCTGTTGGTGAGGACCTGCCCTTTTCTGTTCCCTGATGATGGTGACCACGGCCATGGCAAGAGATCCTCACCATGCCCCAGCTGGAGATGCACTTACAAGAGACTGGATTCTGCCAAAGGAGAAGGGAATTCCAACCTGGAGTCTGCTTGTACCCCATTCCCAGACCTCCAGCCTGGTAAAGGACTTCCCCAGAAGCCGCTCTGTGTGATTCCCCCCAGCCCCCTCACCTGCATGCCCGGTGGGGGTGGGTCTCTGCGGACCAGCATGGTGAGCTCCTGAGCGTTGGAGAGCAGCGCGTTCACAGCCTCCTGGTGGGTGGCGTGGCGCAGGTCGATGCTGTTCACCTCCAGAATCCTGTCCCCGACGCGGAGCCCGCTGCGTGACGCCAGCCCCCGCGGAATCACCTGCAGAGAACCACCAGCACAGCTAGAGAAGGGAAGGCCATCTCTCCTTGGAGATGTGATTGTGTCCCCAGGCATCCTCTGACACCCTGCAGGCCTGCCCTGACTCCTCTCTCTGCAGACAAAGTTCCCTAAGAGGTGACATACCTGAGAACACTGGCGAAGAATGGAGTGGGATGTGCTCTGAAGTGCTATTCCACATTATTCCAAATTGAATCTGAACCAATCCTGTGCCAGTGTTGCCATTATTTTGCCTATGACTGTAACCAGGACTGACAGCACCAGTACTACTCCAGTCCTCACCCAGCACTCTACAGAGGCTCCTCAAAGCAACAGGGGGTCTGAACATAGAACCAAACCTGTGTTCCTGTGAAGCAAAGGAGTCAGCAAGGAAAGGGTGAAATCTGTGAGCACATGGGCAAGCAAGGATGGTGGGAAAGAGCTTTGCTTTGAGAAGGGCAAATCCTGTCTCATTGACCTGCTGATGCACTGCAAGAAAAACCGTGGGCACATGAAGGAGGAGACCTGGCAGGCATCACTCCTGGAACTCCAAACAGCCCTCAACAAGGTCTGAACCCAGCCACAGCTGTCAGACGAGTCAGGTTCAGCATCTCCAAGTGACAAGAGAAGTCAGGAAGCAGAAAGGGCTCAGCACAGATGTCCTCTCCAGCATTCCTATTCCAATAAGCATGGATGTGCAGGACTGTAAGGGAATGGGCTGCAGCCAGTGGCCAGCCTGTGTGCTGTCCCCAATGGCATGAGCTGATGTCACCACAGGAATGGGAACGTGGGATCAAAGGACACTGGCCTGAGTGCAGCAGAGCAGCTCTGGGTGCCCCAGTAGTCACACACTCATCCCACCAGCACCTTCCCTGTAATGACTGGCTTTCTGCAATGCCAGCATCTTCCCAGGATTCATTAAAGCCAACATGAACTCAGCAATTTCAAAAGCTAACCCTCCAAAGGGTTCAGCACGGATTATATAGGTTTGAGGCTTTAACATGCCCTCAGATGGCTCCAGCAGCAGCACATCCAGTACAAACAACCCTTGGCACATCCCTCTCTTATGCCCCGCTTCTGCAAATCCATCCTGTACATCTGGACTCACAGCAAAATGCTTCACCTTAATCCCAATAACCAACAGCTCAGGAACACTCAGAGCAGCTCTCCTGGGACTCTACCTTGGAGATGAAGACACCTGGTTCATGAATCCCAAAGGGATGACTGGAATGGTCACTGCCACCGACGATGCTGAGGCCCAGGGGACCACCTGCTTTCACCAGGTGAATTTCCTTAAGGGAACAAGAAGCAGTGTCAAAGGCAGTGAAGGATATCACACACAGACCACAAACACTGACAAACGTAGAGTCAGGGGTGTTTTGCATGGGTAAGCACAAGGTGAACACTTATGGGACAAGGGGATTCCCCGTGTGGTACGCTGCAACCTGGAGAAGAGCTAGACTGGGGCTCCAAGAGAGCTGGAGAAGGGTTTTGGACAAGGGCCTGGAGTGACAGAAGAGGGAATGGGTTCCCCCTGAGCGTGGGAAGGGTTAGGGCAGGGTTAGGTGGGATACTGGGAGGAAATCCTTCCCTGTGATGGTGGGGAGGCCCTGGCACCGGTTGTCCTGAGAAGCTATGGCTACTTCATCCCTGGAAGTTCTCAAGGCCAGGTTGGACAGGGCATGGAGCAGCCTGGGACAGTGGAAGGTGTCCCTGCCCATGGCATATGGTAGGTCTGGATGGGCTTTCATGTCCCTTCCACCCCAAGCCCAAGCCTTTCTACGATGACATCTCAGGCCCCAAGAACCCAGCAGGCCGGTCCCCATCAAACACAATTCTTCCAAACAGCACCCAGCCAGGACTGCACTATCCCCCACCCCAAAGCCAGCTCACCTCCACAGGGTACTGATCCTCCAGGCCTTTGGCGAGGTGGTTCCTCGGCAAAGGCCTGGAGGATCA